GCGAGCATTACCGCAAATCGATTTTCATCTAGGCCCCGATAATAGAATGTTCGATTAGCTTCGACGGTTGCGTAATACGCGAATTACGTTTGATTTTAGTATAGTTTTTTCCGGCCGCTTTAAGATAGTTCGTCGTCATTCTAATTACGTTCGAGTTGGCTTATTTTATTTGTATTTTTGAAATGATGGTTTCAATTTATGTATTTGATGGTTTCAATTCATATGTATAATGGTTTCAATTCATATGTATATGATGATTTCAATTTATATGTATATGATGGTTTCAATTCGTATTATATGACGGTTTCAATTCATATGTATGTGATGGTTTCAATTCATACGTATTTGATGGTTTCAATTCATATGTATGATGGTTTCAATTCATATAAATGATGGTTTCAATTCATATTATATGATAGTTTCAATTCATATTATATGATGGTTTCAATTCATATTATATAATGGTTTCAATTTATGTATTTGATGGTTTCAATTCATATGTTTCAATTCATATAGATGATGGTTTCAATTCATATATATGATGGTTTCAATTCACATAGATGATGGTTTCAATTCATATATGTGATGGTTTCAATTTATATGTATATGATGGTTTCAATTCATACGAATATAATGGTTTCAATTCATATTTCTATAATGGCTTCAATTAATTCATACGTCCAATGGCTCCAATTAATGAACATTTAAAATCTGAACAATAATTGAAATTTAATTCATCTTATCTCACAAGTTATTTTACAATTACACTACAACTATTATCTTATTTATTTATTACTATTTATTGTTATCTATTCATTTCATACCTCCCACTAAAATATATCAAACGCCTCCGTAGTTTCTCAACGTCTAACAAACTTCTGTGCCGTAAATGCACGAAATCAGCGGTCGAGGACCGGCGAGACGCATCCGAAGAGGGCGGCAGAGGACGAAGAGAGGAAGAAACCGGCACAGATACATACACGGGGGATAAGGTGGCCGAGAGGGCAACACCGCTGGATAACACCGCACGGCCGAACTATTCCGCAACTAACTGACCTGCTCGTAGCACTGTTCAAATTGATGAACGCAAATAGCTCGGCAAGTATGCAAACGACGCGAGCACGCGGCCAGAACGATCGCGCAAGTAACTCGCGGAGAATTTCGGCGGAAATGCCGGCGCGCCGCGCTGTTGATCGCGCGATGGACTGGTTTTCCGCGTTCCGAAACTGGCGGGAACACCCGTCGCTCGGTGATTTCGGTAAATAGCGAAGATTAATTACTGGAGAGAGAACTGATTTACCGCCGTACGACGGAAACAAAACGCGAATCCAATCCCCGGCGAGTGCTTCACGCCGCGATGCAGACGCGGCTGTTTCGAAGCTCCTGCGGGTTTCAAGGATATTTGGATAACAATCGCGTGCCGTTTTTGGTGCATAATACAGCGGAACCACGATCATCCGAATCTCTGATGTCTCAGCTTCGTGCCAACCGAGTCCGTTTTGTGTGCGAATGCGATAGAATTGTGCAATCATTGTACTATATTATTAATTCCGGATGGATTATTGTATTATTCAACTGTTATTGAATTATTTTAATTAATATTGTGTTATTGAAGTATTTGAATTACTATTGTATCATTGAACTGTTTGAATTACTATCGTATTTTATTGAACTATTTGAATTATTACTGAATTATTCAACTATTGTTGAACTATTTGATTTACTATCGAATTATTGAACTATTTGAATTACTATTGTATTGTTGAACTATTTGAATTATTATCGAATTATTGAACTATTTGAATTGCTATCGAATTATTGAACTATTTGAATT